TCTCCAGGTCATCCACTGATGGACTTCGTTGATACCGCGCCGGAGACTGTCTCGCAGCCTGTCTAGACACTCAGAGTCATTGAACCGGAGCAGTGCAGTATCGTCAGCAAATAAGGACACACCTTCAACATGACTGGGAAGATCATTAATATACACTAGGAAAAGGAGGGGCCCTAGGATGGATCCCTGGGGCACTCCAGACAGAACAGGTGAAGCATCTGAGAGAAGTCCGCCTACAAAGACAACTTGCGTTCTGTCGGATAGGTAGTCTGTAATCCACTCCAGCGCTGCGCCACACACACCGAAAACTTTGGGAAGTTTAGCAAGTAATGCACGGTGCCACACGGTGTCGAAAGCTTTCTCGAGGTCGAAAAAGCACATGGCAACTTTCCGCCCAATATGACGATGGCCGGCAATGTTTTGGATCAGCTTGGTGAGCTGTAGAGCGGTCGAGTCACCACGACGAAACCCAGATTGGGCACATGTATTTGTGATTGTGTACTCACTGTGTAGACACGTAGCACCTTCAGCACTAATGCTACATACCAGTAATTATACACACTTGAGAGGGACGAAAAGCGTTTCTTCTGTAACTCTAAGTTTCACGGTTTTAACCGATCATCAGACAGCAACTTGACTACAATTTTCAGAAGATAAGATTGATATAGGCTGCAAGCTTGGATCACAGCGCGAATGGATGATCCGGGCTGATAGTGTAATTGTAAAAATGCGCGAGTTGGTTGATGGGGTGCAAAAATAGGCGCAAAAAAAGAATACACTTTAGGCCTAGGCTCATGCAACCACATGTTCTTCTGAGGGAGGCAAGAAGAAGGACAATGGGGTAATTATGAGCAGCACCTCACCTGCGACTGCGAGTGGTGAGAAGGTTATGTGACGGCTGATGGTGAGAATTTTGAGAGGTAGTACTTATTTTCATGCCTGCACATGCTAACTAGCTCCGATCTTTTGTTGATGTTGACACGCTTGTCCGCCTGAAGGATCTCCAGCTTCTCTCTTAGGCACAGAGGACAGCGCTTGGTTATGTTACTGTAACCTGGAGTCTGGGCGATAACTGACCAACCAAGACTGTACTCGTTGTTTTGACGCTTCAGGTTCCAGACACACTTTGATAGTTCTGTGCTCTTCTCATGTCTCTCATGTCTGAATGATGTTAGATGGTTGCCGTATCTCTTCTTGAATTCTGGCTCCGTAAGGCCGATATACTCCTTCTGTCTGTCCTCTCCGGTTATTTGGACGGTTGCCTTGTACACGATAGAGCTGATTTGGCAGTTGCCGTCCATCGGACACTACGCTTTGTCTCTGCAGTTGCATCGTCTTTCCTTGGGCTGTCCATCGTTGTTTCCACTCTTCCGTTTAACTGAGTTGTTGTGTGACTTGACCATGCATTGCAGACATATTCGGCATACAACTATAGCTTACTTTAACTGTATTCCGGTTGAAGATCTTGTGTAGTCTGGATCCGGCGGGGAAGTGTATTTCGATTAGTCGCAGGAATCTCTGTCCGATGTTTGTGGCCACTGTCTTGCTGAATGGCGGGTTGTACCAGATGACATTCCGCCGCCTGTTTTTCTTTTTCTTGCTTGAATCCTTGTCTCTCTCTTCCAAGTACTCTAGTCCTTCGGTATATCCACTGTTCCTAAGCGCGCTGTTGTATAGCGGTGCGGCTTCTCTGAACGCATCTTGGTTGGATGAAATATCGGTTAGTCGCCTACTAATAGCTTTCGGTATTTGCTTGATGATTGTTGGCGGATGGTTCGATTGGCTGTGGACATAGACCGGTGTATCGTTCGGTTTTCTATACGGACGATATGTTCCGTCTGCTAGGTTCAGCGTCACGTCCAGAAAATTCACAACCTTCATACCGGTGTCGATGGTTAGTCGTAGTCCGAGGTTGTTGAATATCTTGCAGACTGTCTTCCTCATTCGATCTGCTTCGCTGCCTGTCACGTCTCGTAGCACTGCTAGGCCGTCATCGCGGTACAGTCCGACGTCACTGCTGTTGATCTCGTGTGCAATCTTAGACAGTGCATACGTCCCAACTAGCTCGCATACTTCGGCACCGTCGAAGCATCCCATCGTCACGTCGAATAGTCCCCTTCCGTTCTTCTTCATCCAAGTATTGTCTCCACTGAATAACAACGAGTACAGTCTTGGTTGGTCAGTTATCGCCCAGGCTCCAGGTTACAGTAACATAACCAAGCGCTGTCCTCTGTGCCTAAGAGAGAAGCTGGAGATCCTTCAGGCGGACAAGCGTGTCAACATCAACAAAAGATCGGAGCTAGTTAGCATGTGCAGGCATGAAAATAAGTACTACCTCTCAAAATTCTCACCATCAGCCGTCACATAACCTTCTCACCACTCGCAGTCGCAGGTGAGGTGCTGCTCATAATTACCCCATTGTCCTTCTTCTTGCTTCCCTCAGAAGAACATGTGGTTGCATGAGCCTAGGCCTAAAGTGTATTCTTTTTTTTGCGCCTATTTTTGCACCCCATCAACCAACTCACGCATTTTTACAATTACACTATCAGCCCGGATCATCCATTCGCGCTATGGTCCAAGCTTGCAGCCTATATCAATCTTATCTTCTGAAAATGGTAGTCAAGTTGCTGTCTGATGATCGGTTAAAACCGTGAAACTCAGGGCTACAGAAGAAACGCTTTTCGTCCCTCTCAAGTGTGTGTACTAGGCTCTGCACCTTGGTGTATTGAGCACTCTCACGAGCAACCACAACTCCCTCCGAGTTTACCAGTAAGTATACATATACATTTACCTGGCCTGGCCTGGCCACATAATCAGTCATTGCTACATAAAAAAACGTTATGTAGCGATGTGGTCAGGTTAATCATGTATACAAGCCATTTATGAAGCATTCCCAACCGAGGCAGTTACACAAATCCGGAGAAATGATTTACCGGTACGAGGTTTCTTTTAGAATACTGGAGAGCTATGGACTATGGTCGTATGGAGGAGACATACGAGAAGTGAATAGCAAGCAGACGAAGAAGAGTTTTCTCGTTGTGCCATAGGCTCTGGCGATAGCATCAGTCTCTAGCGATACTGAAGTAGACATTGATGCATTGATAAATTTGGACCAGGATGAAGGAGCGGCTATAGAGAGAAAGAGCTCGCTCCAAAAGAACTGCCTTTGCTGAGTCCAGCTGAGGACCTAGGAGGCTCGAAAATCTCTACACACCATCTCAAGGAGAAGATGAGAGCACAAGCAAAGGATGTAGAGTGGCAAAATAACTTCTGACCACGTGTTTTCAGGATTTCCGCAAATGGGAGGGATCTCGATCTGAGATCGGCTCTCAGGAGCTGGCCTCCCGTCTGGTGTTTCAGATGAAGACACTATTTGCAGAGTGGAAGCAGTGACAGCTTGTCTGCAGGCAGGAATACTATTTGCCAACATAAACTTCATCCCAACAATGAATGGCTACCTGCAAACATGGTTTCATCTCTCAGGGAAGATTCATACACCGACTATTCTGCCACAATCCTGCATCAAAGTTGGAATGGAGAGCAACCGAAGCGATCATGTTTTATAGTGATAAGACGTGGTGGAGCTCGTGGGAGATAATGTGCCAGCTTCAGAGGCAGATCGACGATATGCATAATTTCCTGGAAGTTTGACAATGTGCAGACTTTCTTCCATTTTTGTCCCAAACCAAGAGCATTATATGATTTATATCCCTTACTGAAGCATTATAATCAGCATTATAAGGCAGTTTTTGGAGCATTATGGTTAGCATTATAATTATGAACATTTTCGGAGCATTATCCTCTGGACCCTAGTTGTCAGTATTGGATACTGGCATTGGAGTAGAAACGGACTTGGTTGTCAAGCTCTCTCCCCAAGACTGGGCATTGGCGGATAATGCTCGAAAAGGTGGCAGATAGGCATATGCGGATAATGCCGGCAGAAAAATTGGCAGAATTCGGTACTTTTTCTGGTAAGTTTCATGCATGTTTGGTATGTGGATAAAGAATGGAGCAGAATTCGAGGAATTGCCCGCCATAAGGTTTGTATGGTTCTGCCAATTTCACTGCTTTTCGAGCAGAATCTGCCACCTTTTCGAGCATTATCCGCCAATGCCTAGTGGCAGATTCTGCTCGAAAAGCAGTGAAATTGGCAGAACCATACAAACCTTATGGCGGGCAATTTCTCGAATTCTGCTCCATTTCTTTATCCACATACCAAACATGCATGAAACTTACCAGAAAAAGTACAGAATTCTGCCAATTTTTCTGCCGGCATTATCCGCAAAGGCCTACCCAAGACCCATACCAACCCTGCACAGGCTCTGCACTCTAGCTCACGGTATGCTGTGCGTGGCTACAACTTCCCGACTCAGTGAAGACTTCTGCATCATTGAAAGAATTTAAAGTGAATCTAATCAATAGCTTTTCGGCTGTTTCCTTTTCATGTATATAATCGTCTCCTTCTTTTGCCATGGTTGGCTATCACCCACATCTTCCCGTTTTGGCTGCCATCGGAAGCCAAAAGATGTTGAATAAATAAATAAATAAATAAATATCTGCCACAGACTCAGTCAGTAAATCCACGCATCTAGACCTCTGCCTCTGGAGTAGGTATGCTATTGATATTGATAACAAACTGGCATCGTAGTTTAGAGAAAATGAGTATCCGGAGCTGCCCGGACTGGATGCAGAGTCGTAAACAGGCAAACCCGTTTAGTTGATCTGGACTCTGGTGTTCCCTGAGTAGGCTGATACACACGACAACTAGCTGGCAACTGACGTGCAGAGTATGAAGCTCTTTGACTTGTCTTTGCAGATCTCCTCTTCGGAATCAAAAAAAGCTTCTTTGTATCTGAGTCAGTGAGTGGCCTTTCCAGGCTTGTGCAAATTTTCAAGGCGCCCGGCACGCGATCGGCAGCATCACTTGTCACTGAGCATGCAAGGTGCTCTGCCAAAGGTGTGAAGTGCGGGGAAGGAGAGCGACGACCAACGTTTGAATCATGCCGAAACCGGCGTCGCTTGCTGCGCACCAGGCCGCCCGGGACGGTGACATTAGCGGTCTTGAGCGACTGCTGCCAGTGCTGGACGATAGCGGAGTGGCGATCTTCCAGAGCGTGGACGACACTTCAGGGGACACTGCTCTGCACATTGCGGCCGAGGAAGGCCAGCTCGAGTGCGTTACTTGGCTGTTGCGACATGGCAACATTTACTACCAGACCAAGAACATCACTGGCGAAACGCCAGCGCACAAGGCGGCGCTCAATGGGCACTTGGATTGTCTGGAGACGCTCATTGAGTTCGACAAGGAGAACGCGAGTACGGCAGCAAACGAGACGAACAACCAGGGCCTGACTTGCCTGCACATTGCCACCATCCACAACCACATGGCGGTTATCAAATGGCTCCTGGATCGCTACCGTTCGACGGCATTTGCCATGAACGAATTTGGCGCATTGGCAATTCACTTTGCCGCCGCACAAGGTAAGAAAACATCGAATTCAATGATCGCACTCTTCATGGGACCCATACAGTAAAACCTATACCAAATGACCACCCCTTTGCCTTTGGGGCCAGAAAAAGCGGTCTTTAGTGACAGGTGGCCTTTAGTTAGAGGTTTGCACCACGCGACCATAATTATTATCAAGGGTGCATAAACAAGAGTATGCAACTGTGATTATGCCTATGGGTCCGTGCGCGGCGCGCTGCCTTCATTACATCACTTGCCTTCATCACGCTCTGAAAGCATGCATTCAAACTCACAATTTCTCGTACGAGCCCATCTGTTTTTGCTCGATTCGTTCCAGTACCTACACGATTTCTAAATTCTGGCACGTGAACTCCAGTTCCGTACGAAAGTTCATTTCAAACCAGAGGAAAAGTGCGGTGTTTGATTTTCCTCAGTGCGCGGACTGCAGCTGAATGATGTAATGAAGGCAGCGCGCCGCGCATCTGGCCCATAGAAAAGAGATCACAGTTGCATACTCTTGTTACCGTACTCGCGCGGTTAGTGCCCCTGGGGCACTATTTTTTCAATGTCCATCACAGATGGGGCAGTATTCAAGAGAGGGCACTATTTTTTTCATTGCTGGTACATTAACGTCATCCAGCATAAAACAAAGAAAAACAGAGCCTAAAGTGTACTGTAAACGCTCACGACTCCACAGAAACGGGAACAAGACCTGCTATTTTGTTCCTGAAAACACCAGTGCAAAGCAATGGCCAAGAACATTAGCAAAAGAACACCAAACTTGCGCATGGGCTTGGTTACAAGACCAGGGGGGGGGGGGGCACTATTCAAGAGAGGGCTTTATTTTTCACTGGCTCTTGGAGACTAGGGCACTATTCAAGAGAGGGCTCTAATCGCGCGAGTACGGTATGTGTGTCAAAATGCAGCTGATACATTTCCCCGTCACTTGCGCAATGGCATTTCTCCTTTGAGGAGTAGCATCAATCAGGGAGAAGGTTCTATGCTAGGCATTTCCAAAACCAGCCCGATTTTTTCGCCTAATCGGCTTTTCGATCGGCTAAGAGAATGTCCAAATTTGGCCATATCATGAGCCCCAAAGTCAGAATTCGGCTCAAACTAGTCAAAGCGGTACTTGAAGTCACCTTCACAGTATAGATGTGCATTTACTTGCACGCTGTAGAGGCACTAAAACATCCATTTTCGGCGAATTCAGCTCGAAATTTGTAAATTCGGTGCAATTATTGGCGATTTTTGACAGCCATTGAATGATTGATTTCGGAACCCTTTTCTTGCTGACCATTTTCGGAAATGCTTTAAATCTCAGTCACCTTTCGCAGATAATGGCTACAGAAATTGTATTTGCATTCTGTTGAGGCACCAAAACATCGATTTTCGGCGAATTCAGCGCGAAAATTGCGTATACGCCGAAAAGATCGGTGATTTCTTCAAAACCACTGTTTTCGGCGAATTTTTCGGCCGGCCGATTTGGGAAATGCCTATTCTATGCTCTCCAAGACGTTCACTATCATGTTTGCTCATGACTGTACTTGAAACTATGACAAGTGCAGTGCAGCCCACAGTCAAAATGAGCCTGCGTTCATTTGTTCAGCTGTAGTATCGAAAGAGTCCATTCAGGACCACGGAAAGAAAATCAGCAAAATTTCAAAGACGGAGCTTCGAACAACCTTTGGTTTCCTACATTGCGATCGCTAGTTACGGGTCAAAAACGACTTTGGGACGAGAAAAGGCGGTCGCTGGTCACAGTGCATTGATTGTTTTTGAATGTGAGACTGTCTGTGCCTGGCAAAGTGGTCGGTAGTACCAGGCTGGTCGCTAGTCACGGTGGTCTTTAGTTACAGTACTGTCGGGCGCCGAAGAACGGCCAGGCTAGAATTTCACCAACTTTTAAGAATGGTGTGGGCTGGATTTTTTTGCAGATAAGAACGGAAACCGTAATTATACACTATAATGTACAGTCAGACGTATAACTCTGCATAAATGTACATGTAAGACTCTGCATAAATGTACATGTATAACTCTGCATAAATGTACATGTATAACTCTGCATAAATGTACATGTATAACTCTGCATAAATGTACATGTATAACTCTGCATAAATGTACATGTATAACTCTGCATAAATGTACATGTATAACTCTGCATAAATGTACATGTATAACTCTGCATAAATGTACATGTATAACTCTGCATAAATGTACATGTATAACTCTGCATAAATGTACATGTATAACTCTGCATAAATGTACATGTATAACTCTGCATAAATGTACATGTACAACTCTGCATAAATGTACATGTATAACTCTGCATAAATGTACATGTAAGACTGTACCATCGAATATGAACGAAACTGCTGTGTTTGCTAAAAATAAGAACGGGCTAGGCTAGAACCCTGACCCCCAGTTCTCCGGCGCCCGACAGTACTGCACAGGTTTTACTGTACCTGTAGTTTAAAGTCACATTCACAATACAACATTTTGCGACGGGACGTGACATGCGACTGGCAACGCCTGCGTCGAGCTGCGACAGCGACACAAGGTTCACAATCATTTTGGTGTTTTGTGACATCCCTATGCACTAGGACAGTGGAGATTGGATATAACGACACTCCTTCGGGAGAATTTGTTTTCACTATGATTCAATCTTCACATTTAGTATGCAATATGTGTATAAAAACGACTGAAATGTATTGCAGATATGCATGTGCATAATAATAATTAAACAGCGATGTACAGTCGAGTCGTAAAATGCCGGTATTTTGCGACTCCCTGGTCTAGTATGTACAGCGGGGCTAGCGCGAAGAGCCAGTGCTGAAGCGAATCTTGTTGTGTGATGCCGGGAAAGACACGCGGAGAAGACGTCCTTTCTCCAAGCCATCTTGGTCATTTTTCTCAATCCGCTGGTGCGTGCCGACCAAGATATGTCCGTGACGTACTGTTGAACTGGGGTCCTGGCATCTACAAGAATTCTCCGTGCCTAGCTAACCAATGTTGTCAGAAGAACTCAGCATTTCCTGATTGCGACTCAGCACACTCTTTTCTGTTTGGCCTAACAGCCTTCAGGCTGCGATTGGGGAGTTTCCTGAATTCCTTACTAGAGTCATGACCATGATGACAAGTGACTGGTATGATCCCTGACTGGCCTGAGTCCTTAGCTTGAGTCTACACGAAGGTTAACTCTTCACTTGGAACACTTGCTGTCTCCTTGGTCCTTTCTTGTTGCACTTGCAGATATGTGCACGGCTGCCAGGTTTTGTTGGTGTGCGCGGGAATGCACGGCCGACCTTGATGTCTTCAAGAAAGTAGAACCGCGGTTCTACTTGACTGATTCTCACCGTCCATAGCTCATTTTCTCGGCCTTGAAATTCTCTATCGGTTTGTCATCCCCTATATCTTAATATTCTCTTCATTCACTTGGTCACACGTCTTTGAGTTTGAGTGATTTCACCATCCGATCTCAGCCAGGCGAAGGCCAAATCGCAAAACTCGAGACGGTAACCAGCCAAAGACACACCTTCTGAACACGATTCCACAAGGGCCTTATGTCTAAAACCAACGAATACAGCGCAAGTAAGCTCAGAAAACACCCCACAATTGCAAGAAACGGCCCGTTTTGGCATACGCTGATTGGTCAAATCCAAATGACCGTTATTGACGCTTTGTACTGTCGTGATGAGCCCTGAATGGACTGTATATGTACAAATTTTCGTTCACGAAATCTTTCGTTATTTCGCTCCACCAGCAGGCTTGTTACTTACTAAATTTCGTTTTTGGTCGAGGTCTGTCATCCCGAACGTTAAGAAAAAACACTTAGTTATTTCGTGCCCGCTAACGAATATAGCGAAAGTTAATTCCAAACGAAAATTTGTACTTTTACAGTAGATTGTAGTTGAAGGCAAAAGTCATGCATAGCAACTACAACTACACGCTGCACTGCGGCTACAATGATGCGCAATGACCAGCACGCGTGGAGTGACCCAGAGGCAGAGTGACCCAGAGGCAGAGTGGAAAATGTCGTTCGAGTCCACCAAGTCACAGGCTATGACTGCTACCCTCCGACGCACTGACCTAGACCTACCCCAAATTCTGTTTGGTGGTACCCTGTACCGGAGGAAACCAGCATATCACTGCTTGGTGTTCGATTTGACTCCAAATTGTCCTTCGCTAGTCACCTCAGGACCGTGACCATCCACGCCCAGCAGTGCCTGGGCTTTCTCCGACGAGCGGCCCACATTCTAACACCAGCTGGCCGAACAACTGTCTACAAGGCATTCGTGAGGCCCCTGATGGAGTATGCCCCGCTTGTGCGGATGGGCGCGCCAGCCAGCCACATCCAACGTCTGGATAATGTTCAACGCCGCGCACTGCGGATCATTGGCCCTGGTGCAATTCTCCCCAGTCTGGCTGTCCGCCGGACTGTTGCTGCTCTCTCGTGCATGTACAAATTGCATTTCATCACTGGTCCTCCTCAGCTACTTGCTGTATTGCCACTGCATCGCGTTTCTCCAGCCAACCCCAGAACCAGGAAAGAGCACAATAATGCCACTAGCCACGCCTACCAACTGTCAGACACGCTCCCTGTCTCAGC